GTATGTTTGTATGTAAGTATTCATGTTCGTTTATACACTAAGCTAGTATGTCCCTTTTTATTGTCCATCTTGTACAACCCGACATCGTTTCTATATTCGGAGAGCCGATCAATCTAATTGCTAGTGATCAGCAGTGGTGAGGGAGTAAGGGGGATGGTAGCGAACGTGGTAAAATATATTCGCAGCCTTACGATTATAATCGTTTCGCAATATCAAACGTAAATTTACGAACTATACTATGTCAACACACAAACTGTTTGTCGTTGGCTTCAAACTGGTGTAGACATGTACATATTTACACTCCTACTTCTTTGTGATATCTTTAACACGGCGAATCTTATATTATTCAAAATCGCGAAAACTAAGTCATAAAGCTATGTGAAATCCTAACTTAAACGCATCACTTATTAAAAAGAGTAATGATGATGAATTAAACAATACCTTGAGTTGCAGGACCTCTTGTTCCAGTTCCTGATGTGCCAGTTGTATATCGGCCATGTTACTTGTGCTTGGCACATGCAATCCCGACCGACAATCAAACAATGCCGCAACAAAGGCTAGATTGAGGCGCGCATCTCCCTTTCGTAATTAAATTGAAGGGAATATTATGAAGTTCTTCCCTTTATGTATAAGACCCAATTATCCAACAATTTATCTGTGTTATATTTACCATGAGAAATGCAAAACGGATACGCATAGGACTTGACAACTAAACCAGCATCCAAAATTAGATGTACACCTACATTGGCGATGTCCTGGGGTCCAATGAGCCTTTCAAGTCCAATCTGCTCTATTGCAGACAGCGTGGCTTCGTACCTACGCTCTGCATCATCCTGTGAGGTGTTAAAAATTTTCTGCCTTACACATTTAAATATTTCCCCGATACAACTCCCACAAAATGAAGCTATCATTCGCTGCAAATCAAAGCACTGCTGTACCTTCTCCTAACTATAACTGTGCTCTTGATTGGACATTTCCAGGAGGCAAGTCATATAGGCAAACAAATGGGTACAAAAAGAGGTTGTCACTCACCGCAATTTCTTCAGGTTTCACGATCTCTGGCACTAGCTGAGACAATAGATAAATGTAAACTTTCCCATCTTTTATATCTTCTCCAAAATTGTTTATCTGCATTTCGCCCTTCTTAGCATTGTCTAGATGATGATTCACCCATCGGATCAGAAGCTGTTCTGTTGGCATCTGTAACTCAGTTGAGAATAAAATGAACAGAAAATCAGTGGTACGGAAATTAGCCCTCAGCCATATGCACAGGTTAAAAGTAGACTGCTATACCGACAGATAAAGTAACATGCTAATGCTGAGCCAGACAGGTCGCAAGTTGCAAATGGAATACTGAACTTAGTAGCTGCTATATTCGATAGCGCATCGCCTTTATAAGATAGAAAGTAAAGGATTATTTTCCGGATCTTTACCCACAGAAATGGTGATAGTTTTGCAAGACGTGTTGGAAGGTGCGAAACATCAAAATGCATTTTTTAAAAATAGAAGTTGACAGATGTTTCGTACCTTCCAACACTACTTAAGGAGTTCGCAAAACAAACGTATACTCACTTCTATGCTTTGCATTCACATCATAGGTCGCGTACAAGTTCCGGCTCTTTCTTTCTGAGTTCGGGACGAAGACTTACGTTCATGACATCCTCGAGGGTCTCTCCGATGTTTGAGTCGACCAGCTGACACAGTGAAGGTGTGCGCGTGACATGCACTTTGTCCAGAAGAGCCATCTGCGTAGTAGCGCAATGACAGAATCATTGAGTTAAGGGTCAGAAAGGTGTATAAAGTGCGAGAAGCAAATTCACCCACGCACGATTGTGCGCTCTGTAGATAGAATACTTCGTGGAATTGATTGTATGGATAATCCCGACTGGTGCATAAGATTGAATGCATATGAGTATCATTGCGGTTAGCACCGTTTACGACAGTTGGTCGTCGAAGTTTATATAAGTCGACCGCAATAAAAACAAAGTCTTAGGCAATGTTGATATACTGACCTTGACTAGTTGAGATAGAAGGGATAGGACCAGGTTGCGCTTTTCCTTGAGAAGATCTTCAGCTCCGACATTGATCAATTTGCATCCCGCCGAACTCGCTCCAGCAAGACTTTAGAACATGATGATGGTATATATGGTAATGAATGACCTTTCGATGTCTAAATACATTGGCACAACTTTGTTTTTATACATATAAACCTGTGTGTATGCGTAGTGCGTGCATGTGTGTGTGTATACCTGTGTGGATGTACGTGTAGGTGTGCGTGTGGTGTTGGTGTGCGAGTGTATGTGTCTATATATATATATATATGTGTGTGTGTGTGTGTGTGT